GTCAACAGCTAAGCTACATTAGTCCTTTCAGAAGAAAAAAACACAGAATGGACCAGAAAGGCAACCTGTTGGACAGCGGACCGCAGCCAAAAATTAATCGTTCCCCACCAGACCCGAAGCACGAAGATCGGGAAGAAGCCAGTGCACTTCTCCACGGCGAGGGGGACCTCCAGGACACCCGCTGTGGTTTTGGGCCGTTCAAGCCCAACTGGCTCCAGGTAAGAGGCTCTTTCGAGTCTTAAGCTGGGGTGAGATGCTTAGCCTTAAGCTGGGGTGAGATGTTAAGCTTTAGGCTGGGGTGATGTGCTTAGCTTTAAGCTGGGATGATATGCTAAATCTTAAACTAGGGTGAGATATGAAGCCTTAAGCCGGGGTGAGATGCTAAATCTTAAGCTGTTCTAAAGATGTTAAGTATTAAGCTTGGGTGAAATGCTTAGGCTGGAGTGAGAGCAAAAAGGGTGGCATTCGACGCTCATAGATTTCACAGAAGTACCTTGAGTTAAACAGGTGATTTTAATTAGACAGGGAGTTCATTATCTATGAGGACTCTACGAAACCAATTAGCGCGAAATATCCTCTAATGATGTTTTTTCTATTTCATTTTATTTATTTATTCATTTTTATTTTTATTCATTTATTTTCTTTTTGTGCCGTATCAGAGCCTGACGTTGGCGACCATGCTTTAATTCCATGGTTGTACAAAGGAGTGTACGAAGGTGGTTTCCCGTTGCCTTCCTTCGGGTGATTGAAGAGTTCACCATCTCTCTTACCAGTGGATCCTCTGCTTGCATTTCTGTAGTTTGGCGTAATGATGGTAGAACATATTTTTAGATCGTGGATGTCGTTGTCAGCTATAACCAGAATCCCATTTAAGTGTTATATTACTAAACTGAAGAATGAGTGAGTATTTTTCCTATCTGTATCGTTCTATTAATATGCAGAGACGATTTAAAGAGTTTATTGAAAGAAAAAGCTCCCATTTTATACGTTTTTTATGCACATGATATAGAAACCTACTTACAAGATAGTTTAAAGTTAAAGATTGTCGACAAGAATTTTACAGTTATAATTGGCGTTCTGTTTTCCTGTCTATTAAGTTTTATTAATTTTCTAATAATAACTTTCCTAAAAAAAAAAAAAAAAAAAAAAAACGGTAATGGTTAGCGTATATGGTTTCGCCAAACCCTTGTAGTTTCACTGTGCTGTTGGTACATCATAATATGTAAAGAAAGAGAGAGATGAAGCCTTAATGACAAAAATACATCATATAGTTATAATGCATGTGTGTGTCTTTATGTACACATTTTACTTCGTACACACACACACACACACACACACACACACACACACACACACACACACACACACACACGCACACACACGCACACACACACACACACACACACACACACACACACACACACACACACACACACACACACACACACACACATATATATATATATATATATATATATATTTACATACATATATATGCACATACACACACACAGACACACACACACACACACACACACACACACACACACACACACACACACACACACACACACACACACACACACACACACACACTCATTTCCATTCCAGTCAAAGTATCATTATTTTGCCTTCAAGTACTTTCCCTTAGAGTCCAACAACTTCAAAGCCTCTTCCTCTATAAAACTTGACCAAGCAATTTATACCACGCTGGTAAGAGCGAGACGAGAGTTTCAGCGTATAAATATAATATATTTGTCCTCCTTACCGCCGCTTTCCCGTGTTCAGCGGTCCGATTTGCATGCGTATAGTGTCAAGACGTGTCGTAAGTGCACGGCCGAAATTTTGTACGTAAATATAAACACGGAAAGTAATGATTTTGAAATCGTTTTTTTGTAAAAGCAAGCTGCATTACCTCCTTACGAGCGAGAGGGTATGATGGAGGATCGTATCTGTGTATCTTTAAAGGGATAACATTTAATGTCGCTTAGACTTTGCTAAAAGCGGTGGAAATGTTGAACGAGGCAGATTATTACTTGCGCGAACCTATTGTGCCTAAAGTAACATTCTGTTATGGTTGCAACGCGTTTATTATTATTATTATTTTCATTATTATTATTATTATTATTATTATTATTATCATAACTATTATTATTATTATAATTATTATTATTATTATTATTATTATTATTATCATTATCATTATGTTTTTTATGTGTTTAGTAGCTTTCCTATTCTTTAATGACGTATGAATTATGAAGAAACTGTAACTTAAAGAGCTATACCATGCACATGAATGTATCTATCTTCCTTTTTGTATATTTCGATGTATGTTAATAAATAGATGAATAAATAAAGTAAAAAAAATAAATGAATAAATAAAGAAAAATTGATAAATAGGTTTCTAACATTAACATTGGTAAATATTCCTAGTTTCTACTCTAGAAAATTTCCACCCGCAGGCCTTTGCCCGGACAGAGGTATACCTAATAGTATACTG